ACTGTAATCCTTCCTCTGGACCTGGTTCTGATGGATAACTGTTCTGGATTGAATACTCACAGTTGTTCATGCTGGGAAGGTGGCTGGCTCTGATCAATGCCAGCTCGGTTCTGGTTTTTATCAGTCAGGTGCTGGATTCTGTAAACGCCATCTTTTCTTTGTCGTCCCGTCTCTCGTTTCTCTTGAGACGTCTCTTGCAGGTGCTTCTCCTCTCCTTTCTCTTTCTTCAGGAGGATGCGTCTTTCTCTGGAGTTTTTTCGAAGTCAAGTGCTTCTTTCTCAAGACAAGGCAAGTGTAAAGTGAAACTTAACTGTCTGTGCTACAACAGGGATGACTGGTCCACCTCTTCAGGAAGAGGTGGTTATGGCTCTTGGCCTTGTTTTTCATAAGTGCCTTATTAAATAAACCTAAAGTCTTTGTTCTGCCTCAAAAGTTTCCTTCTAAGCAAAGCAGGACAAAATTTATTATCTTTAAGAAAGATTACTTAAAATACACATTTCTCATGAATAAACATTCAGGTAATAAAACAATAGAAATGACATATTTTAAAAATAACATGCAGGTTAAAGGGAGTGCTGTTGCACTGTCTTTCTGAGAGGAAGGTCATTAGACAAAAGTTCCTTATTCTGTTATCTCTTCACACTTCTGGACTCCGGGAACTGAAGTCTGAGAAACGTACTCCTTTTCCACACGGATACAGAGATATCAACATCTGCTCGAACTGTTCAAACTCATTCAAGTTCATATAAAGATCTTATAGAAAAGATCTCTCAGTTCATACAAAGGCCTTGGGTTCTTGGGTTCAGACTGAGTTTGAACAGTTAAGATAGAATAACATCTTTATTACTTGGTGTTAACTTTAAAAGTTTGTGAGCTGAGACAAAGTCTAAAATATGTCTGTTCAGAATGAACGAATATTATTTTTAACAGTTTCAACATTAAAACACAGTGATGATGTTAGTTTGTGGGGTGCTGTCCCCTACACATGTAAACTTGTAAAGCTACGGACCACAGTTTTCAAATTAAATATTTAGAAAAATAAAACACTGACATAATTTTCTTTTTGTTTTGTTTTGAATTGAAGAGCTGTCATTTATGATCGTATGGTGCCATAAATTATTACACACTGTGGACAAACCAGATCTGTTCTAATCCATTTTATCCTCAGCTGGGGTCTAATGAATGTCATCATCATTAATGAAACATCAGACATTAATTAAACAGTAATTAAACATTTAAGGAGCATAACTCATTGTTATTCTCAGAATAGCATCACATTTTTAATACCTTGTCTACCACAGTTTGTGTTTCACAAGAAGCTGAATTAATTCAGTCTGAAGTGACCTTGCTTAGACATCCAGGGCTGTGAGTTGGCGGATGAAGCCGGTTAGAAGGAAAGTATTGTTGGTAGTTACCGACAGAGGAAGCCGTCTCGGACAACATCAGCAGACTTTCTGCCTTTTCATCCAGCAGCCTGATTGACCACTTCCTGGACTTGTTTTTTTTTTTTTTTTAACTCACTGAGAAGAGTTTACGATTAACTGCCCCCACTGTCTGCTCTATTTATAGACTCTCACATTCAAAGACCTATTGTCTTTACGAGCTAGAAGGTATTTATATACAGGGTGCAGCTGGTTTTGCATTGCTGTGCCTTGTAAGGAAAAGAGTGGAAACAATAAAGAAAAGACAGTCCAGGCAGGATTGTTGAAGTTAAAATTACTGTACCTGTGAGAACAATGCGTTTCCATAATCCCTAATCTATGACGCTCCTTGGTCTTAGTCCAACAGAGTTGTTAAAAACTAAAACTTATTTTTTGTTGGTTTATATAGGGATGTTTAATGAAAACTTGGATACTTTTTTTGGAGTTTGTCTACTTTTTTAGAGCTCACTTGCAGTTTTTCTTGTCTGCAAACATCCAGGATTCTCCAGAGTAAAAGAACTGTTGTAATAAAACATATTCATTGCTGTGATAAAACAGCATTGTTCTTAGTTCTAGTTTATTACAAAGGATTTTGTGCATCAGGACTTAATAAAAGTGCTCTCCCTTAACAAAAAGTAGTACATTTGAAGTTCATTTTTGCAATTGTACTTTAAGTTAAGTATAAGTATATCAAGTACACTACACACCATACTTGTAGTGTACTAGAAAGTATACCGATTTAATACTTGTTTGGACTGAATTGAGTCATTTTTATACTATTTTAAAGTATATCAAATAATGCTTATAAAAAGTAAACTTCAAGTACACTTCCTCATTTTTAGAGTAAAATAAGTATACTTGTAGTACACTTAAATAAATTACTTTTTGCCAAGGGCTGGCTCCTACCAGGGTCTTAATTTACTCATAAATAACCTTACTGTACAAACACACACAACAGATTCCACAAAGTCATTTATAAAACCAAACCATTTAAAAATCATAATGTGCATTTTACAAAAGTTCAGATAAAATTTATTTTCATGTTAGAAGAAGATGGAGCCAACAAAGGCAGTTTAAAAATCATCTCAACTTTGATTTGTTTTTCCATCAACAAAACGGAATAGGGTGGATTTTATGACTCATTTGCCCAAATTAACTTGAACTTGTGTATGGTGAAATTCATCCGTCCATTCATTTAGCATCTTTATCTGCTTTTTTCTTTCACAAGGTCGCTGGTGCCCATGTCCATCAGTCACTGTGCGAGAGGCGGGGTACAACCTGGAAATGGTAAATGGACTGTACTTATAGCACCTTTCTATCTCATCAAGGAAAGGTCATGAGTTCTTCACAGGGCCACATAGAGACAAACGAGGCAAACATTCACTCTGTCACTGTCATCTAGGAACTATTGACAATTACCAATCAGTCTAATGCATGATTTTGTTCTGTGGAAGAAAACCAGAATACCCAGTTAAAACCAAAGAGGACCCAGATCTCGCTGGAGGAACTGTACATCATCTCTGACCTGGGAATGCCTCAGAGTGCCCCCAAAGACACCTAGGAGGAGCTGGAGAGTGGGATTCTATGGTTTCCTTCCTTGAACAGTTGCCTCCATGACCCGACTAAGGATAAGAGGTAGAAGATGGAAATGGAGAAATGAAAATATGCCAATAACTCACTAAATTTTATTATTGATATTGAGGTCAAATTTGAAGTGGTTCTAGTTGAGAGTCATTCGCAACACAAACTCCAAGCTCCAACAGATCACATGGAATCTCACAATATCACTACAGAATGAGCATAGCAATATGTTCTACAAAATGATATACTGTAATAGGCATAAAAATGGGCAGGTAATATGCATCCCATCTATAAATGTTTGGTCATAGACATTAAAAATGTCTGAGTTTTTCTAAAAGTGCAATAAGAGAAATTCACTTTCAGTTCAGTTCTGTTTTTTTAATATAAAGCGCCAATACAAAATGCATGTCATAGGACACTGTGTAAAAACATTCACATACATTATTAAATGCAAATTTGTCAAATCTATCTAAAGAACCCAGCAGAGTGAGGTGAATCATCACTTTGTCTAAACCTCCCATCCTAAAGAACACACTGGCAACAGTGGGAAAGAAAAATGTGCTTTAACAGGAAGGAACCTCCAGCAGAACCAGGTTCACGATAGGCACCCATTTATTTCAACTGGCTGGGGTTGGACAGGGCAGGAGAGAGACACAGACAAAAACAGAATGGCTGGGCCAGGTGTGGTTTCTATGGGAAGAAAGGAAAACATTCTAACAACAGAAATAATTGCAAATACAAAATTAACAGCAGAGTGAGGAAATGTGGTCAATTTGTCCTCCAGCAGTCTCAACTTAAAACAGGTGGCGAGTGGCTTCAGATGTTATCAGCCCATTAAATGGCCGTTATTAGTTGTTATCATCCCCATATGTAGCGGTGAGACTGTTCCACCTACCTCCTAGTAGTTTTAAAGGTATGTTATTATCGTTATTATCGCTGATAATAGGCAGCGTTTCCCAGGGGTAAACCAGGAAGTGTGTTTTTTGTTTTTTTCCAGCTTACATAACCCTTTTCCTAAACCTAACCTTACACCTAACCCAGAGGACCAACCTTAAATTTTACCTTTTACCTAAAACTAGCCAAGACCCTAAACCTAACCGCCAGACCCTTTACTCTAAAACGCTAACAACGTACCTTTAAGCCCACTAGGAGGTACAGGAGGGGCAGTCTGACTGCTACACATGGGGATGATAACTAATAATGGTCATTTAATGGCTGATAACATCCAGGTGGAACAACATAAGTAAGGGATAGCTCTAGAAACCCAAGCAGACCCTAACTATAGGATCTATCACAAAGGAAAGTTGAGGAAAGAGTAGTATAAGCATAATGGAAATGGAAGAATACCGGAATAATTTTTAGTGTTTCAAGACAATAAACATGTAATAATAGTACAGGATCTGTACAAGTACAAGTACAAGTCAGATATTTCATATTAATATAATTGTTATGTTTGGCTTAAAATATTTTTTGCTGACAAAACTTGCAGAGCAGGTTAAATTGATATAAAACAAATGGTTTGGAAATATATTTTATTTATGTAAAAACAATGGTACACAGCAATATAGCTGAGATTTCCCCAAATGTCAGTTGTGCTTCTGGACACGTCAATATATTTCTAAACCTGTGTAGATTTGAGGCTCACTATCTCCAAAAATGGCTTATAGAAAATGTTTCAGCTGTGAGGAATTTTCTGTTTTCATGAAAAGCTCTTCTTCTTTCTAAGCTCTGAAAAACGTACACATGGCACATGTAAAAAAAAGTCCCCCCTCTTCAGTGTCACAAGCCCACAGGCACAGTCCTCATGCCCCTATTGACCACGAGGACGTGAAAGAGCTGTGATGCAACTCATTTGGCGAGTCGTCATTCAGCAGCGAGGAGGAAACGCAGCGTCGAGGAGTCTCCTCGTACTCCCACACATCTCCTGTCATTGGCTGAGAGACGTGATGTCACACACAGGGCTCTATAAAAAGTCATTTTCCCACACAGGCAGACAGCAGAGCAGAGCTGGCAGCTTGATCACTGACAAGGACAATCACTCAGGAGCAACGTTTAGAAACGTCTCAGCATGTGCAGAGGACTGGATTCACTGCCCATCACCTGCCTGGAAAGGTGAGCTCAGAGAGAAACTTCTGCTTAAAAAAAACCCAAAAAGATGAAAACCATTTTATTAGAACTGCACTGTGGATTCTTAAACTGTGAATTTATGGGAGTTTCTCTTAATTATTCCAGGGCAAAGGAGCTGAGGGCGTTGTTTGGAAGCTTCCTGCAGAAGTCAGACCACAACCTGAAGAAAAGTGAAAAGTTAAAGTAAGTTACCGCAACAAATAAATGTTTTAAAGCACCTAAAAATACAGCTCATTGTAAGCGTTACAGATTCTTCATGACTATTTTGTTCCTGTTGCTCCAGATTAAGTGATGTAAAAGAGCTGCTGCAGTGGAAGGAGTCGTTTGACCATCTGTTGTCCAGCCAAAGTAAGTTCTTGTTCACAAATCCTTGTTTCTGTGCAGGTGTTTTAAGATGATGCTGACCTCTTGTCTCCTCTGTCTCCAGATGGACTGTGCCTGTTCAGGGCGTTCTTGGTGTCGGAGTTTAGCGAGGAGAACATTGCCTTCTACCTAGCATGTGAGGACTACAGAGCAACCAAAGCCTCAAAACTGGCCCCAAAAGCAGAGAAGATCTACAAGGAGTTCATCGACTCCGATGCACCACGAGAAGTGTGTACTGAGTTATTACAGCTTTTTATTGTATGTTTTTGTGAAACGTGTTTAACAAAGTGTTTGTTGTGTTTGGCAGGTGAATCTAGACTATGCGACTAAAGCAGTCACCAAGGAGAACATGGAGCAGCCCAGTCAGTCCTGCTTCGACGAGGCACAAGCTAAGATCTACATCCTGATGGAGAAAGACTGCTATCCCCGTTTTCTCAAGTCCTCCATGTACCTGGAGCTGACCAGAAAAACAAGAACAGGCTAAAACTGGGTGGAGGGGACTGTCATTTAAATGGACGACACAAGTTCTCCTTAAAGGAGCGAGGGTTTACTGACAGAGGAGTCAGGAACGGTTCGGATGGAACAAAAACCCTGAAACGACGGAGTTTCCTGATGAGTCGTGGAGTTTTTTTACTGATCCACAGACTGATCGGGGTCTAAGCTGGAAGCTGAAGTCCACTTGAAGCTGGGAGAAGAAAGTCGCCCACACGAAGAGACGTGTGTGCTACACGTTAAAGACTGAAGGACGTCAGAGTGGCTTCAGATATGAACTAAAAAAAACAAGCAAGGACCGAACCACTGGAAGAACCTATGTTTATTTATTCCTTATTTATTTAAATTAAATGTTTATTTAGTGAATGTTTGCTGTGCAACTGATTGTTAAAGATATATTTGTATTTTATATTTTTTTATATGAAAGTAAATGTAGTAAATAAAATATGTTTTGATAGACGCTGACTCTTTGGTTTTAAGACAAAAGTGGAAAATGATTTGGCCTCTCCATTTGTGAGGGAAGAACTTGAAGTTTTGCTGTGGTCCTTAACGCCCCAGATTTTTACTTTAGGAGACGTCATGGCAGAATTAGGGAGAAAGCTTGTTTGGATTTGCAGCCGATTAATACAAACACTGACCTTCGTATTGGTTTCACTTTGCAGTTCTTTAATAATTTGTGGGTTATTTGCAAATACAGTTAGCAGATTATTATAAAGTAATATAAACCTGACATGTAAAAACTTCATTATAATTTCTGAGCCTCTCTCCTGCACCCACATCACATTCTATACATCAGTTACATGACGTCTCAACTGAATGAAATGTATATTAATGACAGCACCAATTCAACCTGTATTTATGCAGGTTAGTCTCTTTGAGCCACGAGGACTCATTTACAAAAGAGACCTGTTCCAGACAGAACAATGACAACAATAACAATTATTGTTATACTGTATGTGCTCCACAAATCTCTTAGACCACATCAGGAAACTCATTGCCGAAGAATTCATCTACCTTGGTGTTGTTTCCATTTTGTTGTCTTATAATATGGAATTTAATTGGATTTTATTTAAATCAATACATCTATAAAAATGCTTCAAAGTTAAATTCAAAACAAATGGGGTTTTTTTTATACTTTTAAATAAAATTCAACTCAAAAGTGATGTGTGCATATGTATTCAACACATTTGCTTTGAAGCTTTACCCATTACTTTCAGAAGTTACAAAACAGGGTAAAAAAAAAAATCTACCTGTAAGCAGTCTAAAAGTGAAATCATCTAAACTTGTCGAACGATATACATTTGTTATAACATCCGGTTGTTCAACGTCTTTAAGTCTACCACCAAGCAAAAACATCATGAAAACCAAAGAATTCTCCACAAAAGGTCAGAGACAAAGTTGTGGAGAAAAACAGATCAAGGCTGGATTAAAAAATATCTTAAGCCCTGAAAATCTCAAGGAGTTCCATTAAATTTATTATAAAAAAATATATACATTATTAAGAGAGGCATGTCTGCCAAAACTCACAGACCAGGTGAGGAGGGCACAATCAGAGAAGCTACTAGAAGACCAAAGGTCACTCAGATGGAGCTGAGCAGCTGCAGAGATGGTATAGGACCCGCTGCACAAAGCTGTGCTTCATGGAAGACTAACCAGGAAAATAGAATTGATTATTAAGAATAAATAAACAAACAAGGCAGACTGTTTAGAATTAGAAAAATGTTCACAAATGTATGCAAAAAGGGAGGCGGCACTGTGGCACAGTTGGTAGCGGTGTTGCCTCTCAGCATAAAGGTTGCCAGATTGAATCCCGGCCAGGGGCCTTTCTGAGTGGAGTTTGCATGTTCTCTCCGTGCATGCATGGGTTTTCTCCGGGTACTCCAGTTTCCTCCCACAGACCAAAAACATGCATGTTAGACTGATTGGTAACTCTATTGTCTCTAGGTGTGAGAGAGAGAGTGAATGATTGTTTGTCTCATTTGTCTCTATGTGTCCCTGTGATGGACTGGAGACCTGTCCAGGGTCTCTGTCCCCCGCCTCTCACACAGTAACTGCTGGATGGGCACCAGTGGCACCAGTGAGCCCCGCAACCCGAAAAGAAGAAGCAGGTAAAGATGATAGACGGACAGACGGACGGACAGATGGATGGAGACGATGTTGGAACTGCTGCAAAATGTGGCTCTACAAAATATTGAGTTTTGTGGGGCTACATGTAAATGCATGCATCATTTTTCATTTGTATACTTTTTTATAATTATTGAAAACACATTTAGCCTCTTTTGACATCATAAATCTGTAACATTTTCCGTAAAATTATGGCTTTTAATCAAATTGAAAATCTAATTCAATTCCAGGTTGTAAGGCAACAAAATAGAGTAAAATAACTATTGTCATAAAATGCCCCCCCCCCCAATTGGGAGGGGGGGGGACATTTGTAACACAATGTGCATCACACCACTCAGTGCTATGGGAATAATGCGTGCCTTAGTTTGCTTCTGAGACTTTACTGCAGTCATGGTTGAGCCAGCATGCTTCAAATTCTCAACGACACCATTATCAGTTGCATGAAAACCCCATGTCTTGATTCATTGCCAACGCTTTCCCCCATGCTCCATCCACGACCTTGATATGCCGCCACCACAACGATAAACCACCATGACCTCGATACAGAAGTTTTGTTTGTGCTTTAAACCCCTGGAAAGATCATGCCCTAACATTTGTAATGAGGAGCACTCCATGTTCTTAGTATGCCCCTGAAAATCGCACAAGACCACTCAAGTTCTGCTTGATGTTTTTACATCATACTTGGGTCATTGTCCACACAAATGAGGTCCAAATAAGATAGGTGATAGTTGAAACAGGAGTGTCTGATGACACAGGACCAGAGGACACAGACTCAGCACAAAGTTTTGTAAGAAAGAAAACAGATCTCTCCATTTTTATCTCAATGGAAAGCTGTTCAGTCAAAATGCATATGCAAGTTACCAAACTTCACTCATGTGAAGGAACTAATGGGACTAAAATGAGAAATGTTGAATGAAACTGTCAAAAGGTATCAAATTTTTGTGACTACTTTATAAACAATAAAAGTAATTCTGCTTTTTCACTGTTCTAATAATACTGCTTTAACACACACATATCACATTACATTTTAACTTTCTGGGGCTCCAGGCAGTTGAGCGTGCACAATATCAAACTTTATTTATTTTATTTCACTTTTATTTAACCAGGCATGAACACCAAGAACAAATTCGAAAGCCAGATTGGGTGCTGGACAAAATATTAAAAACCTTCAAATAATGTGCTAGCTGCTTATTTACCAGTTTTTCCTAAAAAAAAAAAACTTTGGCATACAAGGTAGAATAGATATAGGCCCGTAACAGTTAACATCACCCTTAAAAAGAGGGCAAACAGTAGCAGCCTTCCACTCTGCAGGAATTTTAGCAGTTAAGAAAGAAAGGTTAAAAACACTGGCTAATGGTGCTGCAATAAATGGAGCAGCCCACTTAAAAAATAGTGGAGGTAGCTCATATAGCCCAGCCCAGCACGCTTTAGGGTCTAGAGGTTGTAACTCTCTCCTGACCTTGTTCTCTGTGACTAAGTTAAAACAAAATTTTTGCAAAGGGGGACATGCCAGGGTGAGACTGGGAGGAGTCAGAGGATACACTGGACAATTTCCATAAGTTCCAAGCTGAAGAGCTACTATTCAGACTTGTCAATGTAGATGTTTGAACACCACCAGAACCTGTGAGATGTACATTAAAGATATTAATGGTCATGGACTTCAGAAGGAACAAACATGCCCCGCTCCCGAACATAGGAGGATATGCGGTGGAAGTGGTGTCCAGCTACAAGTACTTGGGTGTACACCTGAATGACAACCTCAGCTGGGGCAACAACACCACCAGCCTGATCAAGGAAGCTCATCAGAGACTCTACTTCCTCAGACGGCTGAGGTGAGCGGGTCTGGGAAGCACAGTCCTCACCTCCTTCTACAGGTGTGCAGTGGAGAGCATTCTGTGCTCCAACATCAACGTGTGGCATGGAGGCTGCACAGCTGCAGAAAGAAAAGCTTTGCAGAGAGTGGTGAAGGCTGCACAGAAGTCTGTTGGAATCAGTCTCCCCACCATCACAGACATCTTGACCTCTAGATGCAGGAAGAGGGCCACCTGCATCATGAAGGACCCCACTCACCCAGCGCACACATTTTTTGCCCCGCTCCCCTCAGGCAAAAGGTTGAGGAGCATTAAGTGTAGAACCACTAGACTGAGGAACAGCTTCTACCCTGAGGCTGTTAGACTCATGAATCTCTAGTCAGGATTATCACTGTGAAAATTACTGTTAAAAAAATCACTGTAATGCCACTTGATAGTTGATGTGCTGCAGACTATCCATGATGCTGATCTCCTGCTGCTGATTTATTTCATGTTGCTGTGTTCATTCGTCCTCATCTGCTCACACAGACTCATGTCCATGCTGCTGTTGTTTGGCACATTGTTTTGTACTAGTAGTGCTTAGTGTATTCTTAATTTAGTGTATTTCTTAGTTCATGCCTTGGATCTTATTACTGCTTTTCTTTACAATTTGTATTTTTATTGGATGTAACTGGGACCCTGTGTACATAATTTCGTTCCACCACATGTACCACATGTGGTGCGAATGATAATAAAGACACCTTGACCTTGACATAACTATTTGTTCTTTATTTGTGACTAATTCATAAACCATAAGAGAGGAGGCAAAACTGAGGGCTTATTTTCCAATTGTCTTGCTGTTTCCAAAATAACTGTGGAGTGGAGGCACTATGTATAAAATTCATTCAACCTTTTTTTAGACAGGTAAATCCCACTGAGCCCCGAGGACTCATTTACAAGAGAGACCTGATAAAATGCTCTCTAAAATAAGCAAACATCTCATAAATCAACCAGCAATGAAAGAAAAAGAGGAAATGTTATACTGTATGTCTCAGAAGACTAGAAAGACAATGTATGGATCTAGGACAGAGGTCAAAGCCCACAGGACTGGTGTGAAACGATGGACAGACGTGTGTTCACACAAAACAAACCTATTCTGCTGAGAAGCATTTGAGCGTAAGGGCTCGTTGCCATGGAGACATGAGCCATCTACTGTGCAGGTTTGTTTACTACCTTAGTAACCTGTGATTCACCAAGGCAAGCCATTTCTTTTATAAAGTGCACCTCCCACTCCTTCCATTCCCCTGCCATTCATCCATCATCGCCTCCTCTTTCTTCATGTGGGTCTCCTTGCTGCTCACCCATCCTACGCTTTACGACTGAAACAAATG